AATTAAAAAATGCAGAATGAAGAAGAAAAAAAAAACATATATATTTCACTACAGAGTATAAGTCGCACCAGCCACCTAAAGTGCCCTCTAGTGGCTGTCAGTATGAAACTAACAAATATGTAAATTCTCAGTGGTGCAAGAGTAGCAGATACCGGTACACAAGCCTAGAGTGCCCTCTAGCGGCTGTCAGTGCGAAAATAACAAAGATGTGAAATTATATATTGTAATATATAAGTCGCATCTGAGTATGAGTCGCACTAGCCAAAAAATTTATAAAGAAGAACAAAAATATATATATATAAGTCCTTTCGGAGATGCACCAGCCAGCTAGAGTGCCATCTTGTGGCTGTCAGTGTGAAAAAAAACAAAAGTGTGAAATTCTATATTTTAATATATAAGTCTCAAACCCAGTCAATGGATGAAAAAAAGTGCGACTTATAGTCCGGAAATTATGGTATTAAATAATAAAATGTGGCGCCCACGCTCTCTCTACTTTTGATTCTAACGACTCTCGTACGTACTTCCCCTAATGCCGCACACGCCCATGTCTATCCGCGTTCCTCTTGGCCATCCGTTCAGCCATTCAGGTGAGGTTTTCAAATTCAGTGTTCATAGAGTAGAGTGAGTAGGGAGAGGAAGACATGATTTGGAAGGGCCCCTTTCCACGTTAACCCTCCTAAGACCCCTGCATTGTGCGACCGACTTCCTTATTGTGCATATCTGCGTGTGTGTAACAGGATGTCCCCCGACATCTCTGAAAAGCAGATTTATCTCTCTCCACACCGCAAACACTGTGCTGCTTCCTGCAGAGAACCGCAGGAGAGAGAGAGAGAGAGAGAGCATGAAATCAAGAGTAAGACAGATAAGAAATATAAATATTAAGAAAAGATGAAAATGCACAGGACACATACTGTTCTTTCATGTTTTTTTTTTAAAAGAAGGAGTTGGCCTTGTAGACATAAAGGGGGAGTTGGCCGCAGACAACAAAGAGGCTCAAAGGAGAAGTTCAGATATGAAAGGATAATGGATGATAATGTGAGAAACAGGAGAGAAGGGGAGCCAGTGAAAGAGATGATCTGATCTGACTGCTCTCCACGCAGCACACACTGGAGACACACACGGAGAAGACAAGAGAGGATCGCTGAAACAGCAGGACGGACTCTCGGGGTCCATTGGTTTGCTCCCCCTCTCACCCCTCCCTCTCCCCCATCTACACTCCCCCTGATCCACTCTGATGCTAAATTGTAGCACAGACCACTGGGACGGTGAAAAGCCATTTTCTCGTCAGCATGTCGTCAGGAAGACACAGTACATACAGTTCATATGAATCAGATCTTGGCGACATGAAAGTACATTCGGTCAAGGAACAACAGGAAGTTGGTTTGGGATGGTTGCCTGTAGCTACGCTGAAGGGCTGTGTGCATATCCTGGTACAAAAAAAAAAACAAAACAAAAAAAACAATTTAGCCAACACTAAACAACTTATTTAAAATGGTTTAAAATGATTTTAAAAAATGGGGAAAAAAAAATAATTCTGATTTGAATACTTTTGTTTCATTGTATCAGCTAAGGAAATACAGCAAAATATTACTAATATCAATTAGTCAGTAATTAATATCAATAAAACAACTTACCCAAAATACCCAATTTTTTTTGCTAAAATTCCACATATATATTTTTTACAGAAACACTGACGGTCCAAGCCCCAAGTGGCTAAACTTTAGAACGTCACCCAGATTTTTGGAGTTTTTTTTTTTAGTTTTTTTTTTTTAGTGCTCACTTTGAAGACGGCAGTACCCAACTGTACATACCGTATGAGTACCCCCAGACCTGATAACCCTGTGATGAAGTCGGGGAGGTTGTTCTGTCACATAGTTCCGTCTGTCTGCTTCTGTGGGATGCGTCTGGGTACTCGCCCAGCTATTTGTCTGCTTGGCAGTGTTCTGATTGGCTCGTATACCCTTCCTCCTAAATCTGCAGACGGAATTCCTTCCAAGATTACAAACAAATATTTTTGTCCCGGTGCAGTGAGATTTAACATGGCTTCAAAAAAAAGTTTTTCAAATAAAACGCAGATGTCAAGATATTAATTTTTTTTTTTTTTTTATAAAGAGACAGATATAACATTTATATCGTTTTTAATCGGCTGCTTATTCCAAGTCGGGGTGAGAGACGAGGGTGGGGGTTGAACTGACCGTTACAGAGACAACTGTTCACACTCTCATTTAGACACCATAGATCAGGTGTGGGCAAACTTTCTGACTCGCGGGCCACAGCAGACAGATGGAGCATTTGTGGTAAGATAAAAGACGTGTGAAAGTCGTGCGTAAGTGCTAAGATTCTAAGATGCTTTTATCATTTTCTACACCACCTATTGCGGAAGCTAAGATGCTTTTCCACGCCACCTACCGGGGAAATGTGGGTATTGCAGGGAAAAGGCAGAAGTATAATGATAATATAAACAAATTCATTCATTCCGTTACCGGGTCGCGGGGGCAGCAGTCGCCACCCAATCACACTGCACCGTACCAACCCCCCTGAACCTTCCTACAGGTGGTGAGTCTACTGGAAGGTACCAACCGCCCTAACCGGGATTCGAACCCTAGGGTTCCACACCAATGACAGAGACATTGCCTCTGGTCCAAAGCGCCACTATAAATAATTTTTATAATTTGAAAAAGTTTGGCAGGCCAGATTAAAAAGCTGAACGTGCCACATCTGGCCCCCGGGCCTTAGTTTGCCCTATAGACTATATAGTCTGAATGATCACTGTAGAATGTTAGCCCAAAGATGATCTTCTTTTTATTGTATCATATCAATAAAAAAAAGCATGTTATCAGCTATTGTTAAAATCATAGACACTAATATCTACAGAAGAAGTGATGGAGACGTCTGATTGGCTTGACTTCAGGCTGAGTTGACCATTGAAGTTCAGTCAACATGTCTGAAAAGCAGAGGTGGAGGTAGCGTCATTACAACAACTATTCCATGTAGGGAGCGATTACCTTCAACCTCTGTGTACATCTATCTTTCATAGGTCTTGGTCTTCACCATGCTTCATGTAGGTAATTCTTTCTCTGTTTTTTTTTTTTTCTTCATTCCCAACCTCGGCCCCCCCCCCCCCCCCCCCATCTCATCTCATCATTAACCTCAGTTATGTCACATCAGCTCTGCTAACACCGTGCCCTACTCTCTCCTCCCCCCTGTCCTTCATGCTCCCGCTCTACATTTTCAGGCCTTGTATGTGCTGACAGAACCAATGAGTGTGGTCCGCCGTCAGACATCTGAAAAATGTACCTGCACAGTTACCACAGCCGCTACAGTATATGGACCAAGGAGGAGGAGAAGGACAGCAGAGAATTTGTTTTGCCGCGTAGGTTCTCCGGCCAAAGAAAAGTTTCTTTTATAATCGTATCTTTAGCATAGGCATCTTCAAAAACTCTTTAAGAATTCTTTTGTTTTCTTTTTAAAAGTCTCTTTTTTCCAAGAAAAATACGTGTGAAAAACAAATTTAAACCTCAAACATATATAAACACACACATATATATTTAAGAAATATATATGTGTGTGTTTATGTAAGACTTAAATGTAGGTGGTACATATACATATATACACACATATACATATATGTGCTTATATATACTGTACATAGAGTATATATATACACATATATATAGATATAGATATTGTATGACATATATATTTTTATATCCTGTTTAATAAAGGTTTAGATTGGTGTAGAAAAAGTGTCAACAGTCAAACTATTCCTCAGTCAATAAGACACAGAACGTCAGGAAGAACATCCTTTGACAATCTTTTGGAGAACACCGAACATTCTTTGATTGATTCTTAACACGATACCGTCATTTCCTAGACTATAAGCCGCTACTTTTTTCCACACGCTTTGTACCCTGCGGCTTAAACAACGATGCGGCTAATTTATGGATTTTCCCTGTTTCTGTTTACCTCTGCTGGGGACAAGGACAAAGTTAGGGAGTTAGCCCCGGAGCTAATGTTAGCTTTAGCCCTGGAGCAGATCACTAAGTCTCCCCTGTGTATTCCAACTATGGTTGGGGTGTTGACGCAGGAAGGAGCTAGCATGTAACCAGCTGTGTTACAGGCACAGTTTGGGTATAAAAATAATTTATTTAATTAAAAGTGAAAAAAAAAAATCTTTGTTGCGTAAATATCCCATGTTACAACGTGGACACCTGCGGCTTATGGAGAAGTGCAGTCTATATACTGCATGTCCAATTATGTTTTTCTTTTGAAATTTAGTGGGTGCGACTTATATTAAGGTGCGCACAATAGCCCAGATATTACGTAAAGTAATTCGTTTTTTAATCATTTTTCATATGTAAAAAAAAAAAAAAAAAAAAAGAAAATGTCTGTAAAATGTCCTGCAAAACACGAACGTCACACAGACTTAGACAATATTTTTTCGCCGGTGTTCAAGTGTGTCAGTGACGCCGTGTCCAGTATTTACACGACTGCCCCAGAGGAAGGCTTGCAGTGTCAACTGTCACAGAAAAGGGAAACACGGCATCTCAGCGGAAATGTATCTCTGTGTGTGCGTGCGTGCGTCTGTGTGTGCGTGTTTGTGTGTGAAATGGAGACACAGGATATCGTATACAGCCTCACAGGAAGAAAACCATTGTCTGTCAGAAAGGCTGTTATTGTCAACCGGGCCAAAATAAATAGGGGGACATCCCACAGGAAGTGCTTATGGGTGTATGTATGTACAGTATGTATGCAAACACAATTGTGCATTGTGTGAGACGGCATGTGTGCGTGGAAAGGGGAAGAGATGTCAGATGTTGAAGAGACGTTTTGAAAATGTACATCTGTGCGAATGTGTTCTGCCAAACAAATCACCTTTCGGAACTCTTTCGACGTCTTGATTGATAATACAGTGTTGCCATGGTGATTCTGTGCTCATGCCTGGCAATAGCTCGACCTTTAGTGTGGTCCCAGAATAAAATCGAAACACGGCTGTTGAAGTTCACGCCAAAAAATCTTTTTACTTTTTTACTTTTCAGGCTGAAATTCTTTGAACCATTGAAAACAAATGCAAATGAACTCTTTTATGGAGAACTTAATGCAAATTTCTATTGCAACACATGGATGAAAAATCTAAACAGGTCTTTAACAGGTGACCAAAGTCACTTTGCTTTTCATATCTATCTCAAGGCCATACAAGATGAAGTCAAATCTGCTGGAGAAAATCTATCTAAAAGTTGACCCCGGGCCAGATTTTGACATTTCTTTTGAGGAGTATTTTTTTCATAAATGGAAATTTTTTCATAAACAAACCTCAAAAATCAAACCCCTGCTAGGTGGTTTAGAAATAATTGAATCTATGCCAACGGAGTTACTGATGCTGTAGGTCAACGTGATGAGAAGAGAAACTCGATTTCCCAAAAACAAAAAACCCAAAATGCTCCTTTATTATGGACATGGTGGCTTTTTACGTGAGCTTCAAGTGATACTGTCCTAACTCATGGTGTCGGGAAATTCTTGTCCTGTACTCCAACATGCCACGGTACTTCAAATAGTGGGGACGCAGTACATCAGAGGTTATTCTGGAGAATATTACACAAATATTTATATATATATATATATAAGGCCAAGCTAGAAAAATGCTCCCTAGAATTAAAATAAATGAAATGGTTTGTGCGGACAATTCCTCCAATAACTGTAACGTATTTTTGCTCCTTGTTTCGGTCGTAGCATTCAATCCGTTCACTGGGCGTCTTTGAATTCCGTCGAATTATCTTAACGCTGATCTAAGGATTGAACTGTTGGATGAAAGCCCTCCAGAGAAGGTGAAGCCCGTGGAGCTACAGCGCTCGGAGCCATGTCCCCGAGCCCTTCATCCATCACAATGCTACCAGGAGCAGCGGGTCTTTTTAATTGCCCGGAGCAGTGTGCCACTGGCCTATCAGCACTCAGCCGTCTCCGTCCACTCTTCTTCCTCCTCCTCCTCCTCACGTTCTCACCTCTTCCCTTTTGCTAAAGTTCCTTTCTCCCTCCTATCCTTCCCCTCTTAAGCACATCTCTAATTCTTTGGCATTTAGGCCTTCGCTGCATTGAGCCTCCCCTGTGAAACCAGCAACCTAATTCTTCTCCAGACAAATTGCCAATCAGCTGCGGACAAAGAGAAAGGGAGAAAAGAGACTGGTCCTCAATAGGGCCGATCGCTGTTTTACTAAACGCTCCTTCAGAGGAGCAGGAGGAGGTGGACGACGGTGGGGGGGGTTGGGGGGGAGGAGAATGCTCTCTAATGTCTGTGCGTGTGTGTGTGTGCGTGGGGTGTGCATAATGCTGGTCCGTGGGGGTATTTGTGGCTATCAGTGTACCCTCATCTCTCCCCTCCTGCCGGGGGTTCAGCACTTTCTCTATGCGGAGGTTAACGACCTCATGGTCCAATCACATTCTCCTGTCAGGCCCCCGTCGCCAACAGCAACAGGTGGTCCGTCCGATTGGTGTCCTGCAGAGCGGAAAAGTAAAGAGAGAAAAGGAAAGGGGGGGGAAATGAAGGGAAGGAACCAGAATGAGCCATGAGAACGTATAGTTTTTCCCAAATCAATTTGTTTCCAGATCACATTTTTATCCTTCGGCTCATTATCTATCTTAAGTTCCTGAACGCTGACAAATGATCTGGACCCAAAATTCCTGCTCCAGACTGTCCTCCTCCCATTTTACCCCGTCTGAGCTCCTAATCAAACCCACATTTACGTGAAAATCGGAGCGACTTCGTTTGACATTTGTTGCGCTCCCCGCAGCTGTCCATAAAGATTAAAATGTTCTTCGGCTTAAATGGCGTGTGACACGTTACCAGAACCTTCGCCGTGTCTGATGAAGACTGACGTGCCGTGGTTTACAACATGCTCCAAAACCACTTTTCCCTTTACTTTACTGGCGTAAACTGGGTTCGGATTTCATCTGCGAGTACATGAAGACCCCGGGTGTATGCAGTAACGCCGTGTACTTTTCAGCCGGTCAAACTTGAATCACATTTAAAGGATAGAATGTTTGTAAATGTTTGTAAGTATTGAGGGATTATTATTAAAGGACGGCTAGGGATTAATCGCGATTAATTGTGGGACAGTGTGACTACAGTAGTCCAATTTTTAATATGGAAAAGTATCAGGAAAAATCTGCAAAGATATAACTAAAAATGTTGGTGGAGTTTAGTGGTTACTGTTCATCTTGACGGAAATCATGAAGAAATGTTTAATGCTATTGAGAATTAACTTCTGATAACTTTACATCTAACTTTAGATCAGGACGCATCAACGATATTTGTGATGACTAGGTTTTTAGTGTGGATTACTAATAATTATATAAGTCCCAGTTTTTCCATAATGGACACTAAATGATGTTTTCTCTGTGATCCTGACTGTGAATTTTGGTCGAAGGCCAGATTGGACAGTTCGATGGACCGGATTTGGCCTGCGGGCCATCAGTTGATGAAAATAATACTAATAATAATTAATAATAATTTGAACTTTATTGATCCTGTATGTGGAAAATTCTTGTGTAAACAGCAGATCTGCTGCAACAGAAACCCAGGACTCTATGCTCATAGCTTCCGAGGCAGACGTGCTAACCGCTACACTACGCTTTGGATACTTATAGAAGAAAATCGCAAAAAAAAGGAGACGGCTATTGAATGTGGTTTCGGAAAGAGTATTCACTTGAAATAGACCGATATTCGTAGATTAGTGAATTACCATTTCACAATTACCCTTAGCCGTTACTTAAAAAATGGCTAACAAATAGGTTCGGCTGATACAGCTGAAATATACAAATTGTTGAGAGACTATTTACCGCTGAACGAAACTAAACAGGCTGAAAAGGCACAGCAATTACTGACTGACAACTTTGCGCGAGGGAAGTTCACATAAAGCGGTGACAAGTCTTTTGGAGCTAATCTTAATTTTCCAATAAGCCTGTTTCCTGTAAGCGACACGGACAGGAAGAACCCATGAAAAAAGGAAGGTTAAATGTGGAGGGACGGAGAGGTGCTTAGACGCAGGACTGGAGTGAGTTCAGTGACTCTCTCTCGCTCTCTCTCTCTCTCTCTCTCCTTCTCACCCTCTTGCTCCCTTCAGCCTCTAATTAAGCAGCTAACAAACTCATAAAAAACCAACCAGGGAGACAAAGGGGTTTATGCAGAAAGGCAGCATTAGTCTAGCCTGAGTGCCCCTGTCTCATTAGATAGAGGGGAGGCATGGGGGGGGGGGGACGGGGTAAAGCCAGGGAGAAAGACACTGCTGTGTACCCAGTCACGTTTATTGAGCTGTGTCGTTTAACCGCCGGTTCCGTCATTCCGCCTGTGAACTTGTTCTTAACGGGCAGTAGGGGAGAGGTGGGGGTGACAAAGGGACATTTCTTTCAACTCAAGTTATAAGAGAAACAAAAATGAGGACTGACAAAGAAAACCCCTAAGGACGCAAAAAAAAAAAAAAAAAAAGAGCAAAAAATGAAAATACGAAAGGGAGACTAACAAAAAGAGTCCCTCCCTCCCTCCCTCCATTCCTCCCCCCGTATGAGTTTTGATAAAGTTTTCGTAAGTTCAGACTGCAATGGAGCTTAAATGGAGCGGACGTGTTGAGAAAATGCTTTGTTGAGTAATGAATAAAGTTTTAAACGCAGGACTCTTACTTTATTCACACACGACCTCATCACTTTTACATCTGTTTTCCTGCTCTGTTCAAGTACGTCTTTTTTTTTTTTTTTAGGTCCTATTTCCCCCTGATTAATTATAGACCTTTTAGAGCTTTTATTTCCGCGCCTCGGTGTCGTAACCCGTCATAAAAAAAACGAAACAAATTACAATGGAAAATTCCAACGTTTTAATTGTAGGGCACTGACAGGTGAGAGATGAGCCAGACTCTGAGCTTTGGTTTCCTTGGCACGACTTTCACTTTCTCTGTCGTACTGGACAACACGTCTGACCCCAGTCCACCACTACGACAGTATGAAAACCACCGCTGTTATTTCAGTAATACGTCTCCCTCTCTTGATCGGTGACAAGTGACTTTGCGACCCCTCTTTCCCGAGCAGTGCTGTTTAAATCATTAACCGAGAAACTGTTTCGGATGAGTTCATACTAAGCACTGACCGTAAATCTTCATTTAGCGTGTTTCTCTTAAAAAAAAAAAAAAAAAAAAAAAAACCAGCCAATCCAGCCATTAAGCTGCAGCTCTTCATTCATCTTTTTGGTCCCTGAGCACAAACGTCCTTAAGAAAACTGCTTGCCAAACACACTCATTTTAACAGCTTACGTCTATTACAGCTATTCCCCAACACTCCAGGAAAACATTCCCTCAGAGAGCAGGTCAACTCCGGGTCCAACGGTAAATGTGACAGGGCCAACAAGGCATAAGAGGCGGGGGCGTTTTTTTTTTTTTTCAAGCTGGTGCCAGTTTGAATGGTATGAAAACTCGTATATGGCATGTGCGCAACCGCGCCAGGGAGTCGGCCAAGATGTGTCCACTTCGTAGGAACCCAATAAACTGTTAGCTTACGGGCGGTGTTTAAAAAGTGTCGCCCTGATTCCAGTTCATGTAAACGAGTAGTAAAACTGACAACTCCTGACGTGACATCTGTCCTCCGCTCCACCTCTCTCTTCCTCTCGCTTCTTCGCCAAGATATAAACACAGAGACACGAGTTTCGCATGAACCTACTTGTTGCGCCGGCCCCAAAGGGCGATTTTTAATCCCTCCGTTTTCTCACACGGAGCCCAACGTTGGCCCTTAAACACACCCACGCACGTCCAGAGGTTAATGGCGGAAAAAAAAAAAAAAAACTGTGACAGCAGCGAACGAGAATTAGATTGGAAAGGGGCTTTTGCTCAATTTGTGTGCAGTCGGTACTCAGGAAGCCAAACCCTTCCGTTTGATTGCACACACTCACTCACACACACACTCTCTCTCTCTCTCTCACACACACACGACCCACAACACACACATCCAGCAGGAAAATAAGCAAAGCTGAAGCCTTATGATTGCACCTAATCTCCCTGACACAGGTCCTTTGTGTTGGGATCAGCGCGGCTCAGTGGACAAAGCCGTTACGTGAAAAACGTAAACAGAGCGCCGTACGCGTTAGCATTATTGTGCTATAAGCAACTGCGTAAGACGCGGCTAAATTTGTGATTACTCAGCTTGCTTGCAGTGTTTGTATAAGGCAGGCAAAAATATGAAGGTGCCTGTAAGTGTGTGTGTGTGTGTGTGCATGACTGAGTGCTCGGGGGAAATGGGCTAATTTGTCTGTGTATCCTGACCATGTTCGTACGCTGTGCTGCTGCTGCTTTAATGAAGAACACATTGGGGCCGATATTACTTCCACATGCTGCGGGAATGGGATGGAAGGGTGGGTAGGTCGGTGGGTGGAGGGTGGGGATGAGGGGTGAGGGGTGGTGCTCAAATACAAACCCTCCTTATTCAGCCACATTTGGAAACACACTCGCAGCGCTGCGGTATTTTCCACTTTATTAATTGCACTTGATCTTCATAATCACCGAGTTGTGGACGTCATTTTTCAGGACACGCCGGCATTGGCGGGGGAAGGGAACACATGAGCGTGTGATCCGCGCCGTGGGCCGGAGAGTCCAAGAAGTCTCCAGCTGCTGTGGTTTGTTTAAGTCTGGTCTATACCCTGAACTGCAATTCCCAGACTGGTATTTCTTTTGGCACTAAATCTGACTTTATTGTACATAATTTAAAGCTTCAGCTCACGAAGCATGGTATATAAAAAAGGAAAGTTCTGCCTTTAAAGCAGAGACTGGGGGGGGGGAAACCAGACTTTCCGTGATATACTGTGTCCACAGTCCATTTGCGGAACAGCTCAAACGGGCCAAACTGTGGTCATGGTAAACAAACAACGGTTAAATATGGCTGGGGTTGGGCAACTAAAAAATCACTTGGCTATGTTATGTTGGGAATGGGATTCCTGCCCTAGTGATAAAGTAATAAAGGTGTGTTTTCTTACCATCCATGTATAGTATTCTGGACGAGCTCACAACAAACGTACTCTCAGAAGCTACATGCTAAATACACACCCAAAGTTGGCAGCTCAAGCTGAGCACCCAGGGAGCAGTGTGTGGGGACGGTGCCATGCTGGCGGGTGGAATCAAACCTGCGACCTTCCAGACGCAGTGACGCTTTCTTACCCACCAGGCTGGTGGATTCGAACCTGCGACCTTGTGGACAGAAGTCCTCTTCCACTGGCCCATAGTGAGGACATAATTTCCTCCACATTTTTTTTTTTGGCATATTCAGTAATGCCTAGTTTGTCCAGATGCAAAAACCTTCAACGGCAGCCGAATGGCATCAGCAGGACCAAGTACGGCAATATATATATATTTTACCAAAAACAGTGAAAATAGGACGTAAAATGTTAAACAACTGGATCAGATGTGCATTTGGGTTTGAATAAGGTGCATATCATAGTCAGTAAAAAATAAAATAAAATCCATCCATTTTCATCCATTACGGGGGCAGCAGTCTCCACCCAAATCGCATTACACCGTACCTAAACCTTCCTGCGGGTGGTGAGTCCACTGAAAGGTACCAACCGCCCTAACAGGGATTCAAACTTGCCCAGGAGGTGAACCCTGGGGTTCCACACCAATGACAGAGACATGGCCAAAGCACCACAAAAAATAAAATCTAAATCTAAAATAATAACGCATGGAATGATGAATATTCTCTCCAAAAGCTTTGGTAATTTGGTGGATGTCTTTGGGGTTGTTTAGTTGTATAGACCTGGTTGCTCGTTGCTCCCAGGAGATCTGGCAACACTGACCTAAAGGCATTTTCTTTGATGTCCTTTGGCTGTTCCTTTCAGGGGGTCCATATATATCCTACCTCCTCCCCCGGTTACTCCAACTATCTCCATGTCCTTCTTCACTCCACCCATAAATCTTCTCTAGTGATTCCCTCCTTTCCCTCTTGCCTGGCAGCTCCATCTCCAACGTCCTTATCTCCACTCTCTCCTCAGCACATGTCCAACCCATCTCAACCTCGCTTCTCTAACCTTATCTCCCGTCTGTCACACAACCATGTTCTGTATACCATTCGTCATGGCAGGTCTCACTCCTGTCTCCTAAACCAACTCGGACGAATTTCCTGCAATTTTCTTTTCTGTCACAAATCACCCCAACGCTCACCTCCATCCATCCCTTCTGTCTGTACTGTCCATTTTCCTTGTGTACGGTAGTAAAGCCACAGAAAGGAATCGAGCGCAAACAAACGACAATGACAAATTTGACCATGTGGGAACTCCGTGAGACACACAGATAACGGATGGATTTGCTGATGAATCACTCGTTGTCACGGCGGAAAGAAGGGAAAAGGGTTGAGAGGGAAATAAAATCTTTGTCCGAGAAGTGGTTTCATTGTATCTGCCAGGGATTTGGAGAGATGGTAGGTGACTGATCCTTGGACAAAGGCCTTGGGGTTGATGTTTGCTGTGGTGACGAGGTTGGTTACAGTATGTGTTTAATCGATTTTATCCGTTTCCTGTAATGGTTGGAACAGTATCGAGTATCTGACAGGAAGATCTCACCATAATACCACTTGATAAGGCACGTCACCACCGACATCTGATGAAGGCGGAAGTATCGCGGCGAAAACTGACATAGATTTAGGTTGAAAACAAGTCCGAAAAAGGAAGGGTAAGTTAATGACAGTGACAAAAGTTCCGAGGCTTCTACGTATATAACATTATGAACAAACTCGGTCCGAAAGAAACTCGAGAGCACGAGGGGAAACGGAGGACAAGGAGCTTGGGGTCAAGGGATGTCGTGCAATGAGAAGCTGGAGAAGGGGAGAGGGAGGAAGGGAGGGAGAATGGGGGAGGATATGCAGGGCAGAGAGGAGAGGAGGTCATTAAAGTGCTCTAATGACCTGCTGATTGATGAGGGGCCCAAACTCTGACCCCAAATTACTACAGAGCCTGAGAACGGATTCTGTGTTTTGCCTCCGTGTGCAGGTACCACAGAAACACACACTCACATGTTTCCAATGAACGCAGCAATTACGCCAAGCACTCAGGTGAACGTATTCTTTACTCCACACGAGAAAGAGAAGTCCGTGCCACAGAGACGAGGAACCTGTTGAGAATCAGCTGATAGGGAGCCTAATCGTCACCATCTGTCCTGCTACGGTTCTGTCTGTGTCTGTAAATCATTAGCAACAGACAGCCAGTGTTCAACGCAGCCAAATATCTCTCCATACTTATATATGAAACAAGGCTTCTTTTATGTGAACATGAGCCACCGGGCTGCGAGTGTGTAAAAGCAGCGATCACATGGACAGCTCGCTCAGGGTTGTACAAAGACGCGGCGTCTTTGAACACCGGAGAGCCAACACGCTGCAGGTGTTTGGCAGGTACAGTGTTTATAACATGATCACTTTTCACTTGAGGCCCGCGGTCGCTAATGAAGAGTAAAATAAGGGCTTAAAATATAGCCAGGGCTGAGGGGAGTGTCATTAATAAGTCCATAAATCACAGTATTGAACACATTTTAAAATCTGATCTGGAGATTAAGGGATCATCAGTGTGTTCGCTCTTCAACCCTGAGGGAACATAAATGTGTGTAACCAAACTTTGGGGTTCTATTCCTGCCAACTCTGCTCGGGATGTTTTGCTCCAAAACACATGTCACTTTGTTGCCAAAGTCGTCCTTTTGGGAGCTTTCGCTTTTGCACAACACAACGGAAAAGCATCTGAAGCTTGACTTTAATGCGGGAAAAAAAAAGTTTAATTGGTTTCGCTTTTTGGGGATTCTATCTGTCAGCTGGTCATTTCCACCGCAGACGCTGATTTACGATGGACACGATGAACACACTGTGTCCAGAAACGTTGATCAACACCGGCGAGGGGATAGAGCAACAGTCGAAGGAGAACCTCAGTTCAGTTTGTTGCGTCTTCACTTCACTCTCAGGAAACAACGGGCTCTTAAAAAGGGAATCAGCCTTTCATTTTACATAAAAGAGATTTGAATTTTTATGGTAAAAGTTTTGCAGAACATGACTGAAAATGTCCTGCAACTCAGGTGCTATTTGTCGGTTCCATGCTTGGCGCTTGCTAAATGTGGGATCAATATAGTACAAAATGATTTTATTTTATTTATGGATCTATTAAAACTCTATTTAAGTACATTTGCACGCAAATATCGATAAAAACAATTTATCTTTTTTTTTTAAGTTTGTTTAGAAAGTCTCAACCAGGGGTTTCCAACTACTGGCGTGGGGGCCACATCTGGCGCACGAACCCCTTAAAATAATAATTAATTAAAAAATAAATGAATAAGAGATTTGTACTAATTGTTTGCACTGTAGCGTGGCAGAGTTTTCCAGCAAAGATTACTTTTTTTTCAATATCTGTTTGGGTTTTTTTGCTATGTATGTTTTTTGTATTGAACATCTGACCAGGCTCTGGGATGAAGGAAAGGACGAAGACACCAATGGCCGTGTCTTCAGGATCAGGGTCAGGAGCAGATAGATGGAGCATTCGTGTGAACTCAGATAAATGACATGTAAAAGTCATACATAAAGGCTAAAATGCTTTTATCATTTTCTACGCCATCTATTGGTGCAATCTGGGTATTAATTATATAATTTGGAAAAGTTTGGCGGGCCGGCTGAACGAGCCACATCTGGCCCCCGGGCCTTAGTTTGCCCAGGCCTGGTCTTGATTATTCAAACAATCAGATTTGAACACTTGTCATATCTGGAAAAACAAACAAACAAACAAAAAAACACTTTACAGTTTACGATTGAACTTTTGAAACAACTCCAGGATGATGACAAAGACATGTCAACTCTGTCTTTGATGGCAAGGTTACGGCTCTACTTAGTTAGGGGTTTCAAAAGTGGGGGGGCGGATCCCCCAGGTGGTACAGACCAAGTTCGCAATGTT